AAATCACACAAAACTTTATCAAAATGACAATTTCCAATTGTGCAAGGAATTGTAAAACTCCCTGGATCTTTTAGCTTTGGGGGAAGCTTATTCTGAAGAATTGCAGAACATTCTTCAGTGAGTTTCACAGTCTCATACTCTTCCAATTTCCTCTTGTTAGATAAGATCTCCTTTAAGAATTTAGCATAGCTAGGCATTTGAGCTAAAGCATCTGCAAAAGGAATGTTAATATGCAATTTCTTAAAAATATCTAGAAACTTAGCAAATTGCTTATCTAGCTTTTGTTGCTTCAATCTATGTGGAAAAGGAATTGGAGGCACATAAGGCTTGACTTCTTCAGATTTTTTCTCTTCCGTTGGAGCCTTCTCTTTTTCACCCTCATTGTCTGAGCTCTCTTCATCTCCAATTTGCTTCCCACTTCTCAATGTTACAGCTTTCACTTGTTCCTTAGGATTTTTTTCAGTACTGCTTGGTAATGCTCCTTGTGCTCTTCCAGAAACTACACTTGCCAATTGACCTACCTGAACCTCTAAATTCCGAATTGATGCCCCTTGGTTCTGGACTGCAGCTTCCAAGCTCTTGGTTGCTGTTTCTTGACTTTGAAACCTTGACTCATTAACCGCAATGTATTTTTTTAACAAATCCTCCAAATCTGACTTTTTCTCAAGTGGTTGCTGAAATCCTGGAGGCTGCTTTACTATATTTTGGTTGTTACTCCAAGAAAAATTTGGATGATTCTTCCATCCCGGATTATATGTATTGGAGTATGGATTATTTTGCTGCTTATTAAAACCAACAAAATTAGCATGTTCAGATGAAGAAATAAAAGAATTACCTTCTAGACATTCAGAACTAGGATGTGCTCCCCCACACAAGTCACAATTAATGCTTGTGGCTTGTATAGTTGAGACATTCATCCTAGTTAATTTTTGGTTTAAAGCCTCAATTTGTGCTGTCAAAGCAGTAAAAGCATCAACCCCATAAATCCCAGCATTTTTCTTAGTGTGTGATCTTTCCGAACCCCATTGATAACTATTTGAAGCCATCTCCTCTATGAGGTTATAACCCTCATCAGCATGTTTACTCATTAATGATCCTCCAGCAGCAGCATCAAGCATGGTACGATTATTAGGAAATAAACCATTATAAAAAGTGTGTACCTGTAACCATATAGGTAGACCATGATGTGGACACTTCCTAAGTAGCTCTTTGTATCTCTCCCATGCCTCATATAATGACTCCATATCCAGCTGCACAAAAGTAGCAATATCGTTACGCATCTTAGCAGTTTTAGCAGGAGGGAAAAACTTACTTAAAAATTTTTGAGCCATCATATCCCATGTGGTGATTGACCCAACAGGTAAAGAATTTAACCAATTCTTTGCCTTGTCTCGCAGAGAGAATGGAAAAAGCCTTAATCTAACAGCATCATCAGAAACTCCATTATATTTAAAAGTGTCACAAATCTCTAAAAAGTTAGCAATATGAGCATTAGGATCATCACTTG